TCACTGATATCTTCAGAACAATGTACCAAGCGAAACGTAATGCGACTATTACCCTGAGTAAATGGTGCTCGTTAGACAAATGACGAGCTACAGCAGGCTGGGATCGCATACATTCCAGAAACCGTGTCCAGAGAAGGTCCAGCTCCGTGGATAACAGCTTCAGATCATTGTCCAGTTGCAGCAACAGTCCGACGGCATCGTCATAGTTCATTATGTCCTCCTGCAAGATAGTCAGTTTCTCTACACAGTCGACGCACCCTGAACAAAAAATTTACTTCAGCATTACAAAACTCATAACCGACTGGTGCTCTTACGAATGTGATTCTGGTTCTCATGCGGAAGCAGCGAAACAAACTGCATTAGTTTCGCTTGCAACGACTCGTATGCCGACAAAAGCGTCGTACAGGCACTGCTATGCACCCTCAAAATCTGCTTCAAACGGCTGTCCATTGTGTTGTGTGCGTCCTATTCAAAGTTGTTTTAGTCACGCTGGTTCCATAACTTTAAAAACTAAATATGAACTTGGCGAGATGCAATCACTGATAGGCTGGGAAGGGAGGGGATAGTGGTCAATGGCATGGAACAGCAGAAAATCGCTAGGCTGTTCGCTACACCGAATACAGAACCAGGTCTGACACAACCTGAGTCATTGTGCATGTACAGCAGCCGTAAAATGAGCAACTGAAGTATCATGGTTCATGCAATTAAATGATTATGAATTCCTATCTACCCCGTATGAATCCGCAGAAGTGACATAAGATCTTTATTCTGAACTGCGGTATCGAAAACATAATGCCCATATGCTTACGGATTGAAGTGTATCAGTTGGAGTTCGAACAGGCCATTGTTTAACTCCTGCTCTTTCGCGGTCATGCACTGCAGGTGCCAAAATACCATTGAACCGTGGCATGAATAAGGAATACTCTTAAGCGATTCGAAGTAAGGGGAGGGTGGACTATGTCGTGTTAATCTGGAGAAATGACAGAAGATTTGCTATTCTTGCAAACTAGCAATTTGCTATTAAACGGATAATAGCGGGATTAACATTCTTATCTACAACATTATAATGACTAATCTCGTTTTCTACTGTCAAAGTATGAAAACAAACATATCATAATAACAATTCAAGTAACCAGTAAAGCGGTACTAACAGCTTACCGGCTTGTAACAGTCCAGCCAGACCTTGAGATCGGAAGTTGACAGTCGAGTTCCGGACGAATCCGAAACTGAGGACGAGGGGTCGCAGGTAGAAGAATTTTCTGAAGCCGCAGACGAGGAGCTAAATTTCCGAACGAGCAGTTACAAAGAGAAAAAGGGCAGACATAAATGAGATTATAGCCAATATTTTCATGTCTTTCAGCCTTTACAGCTATTTCTTATCCATATACTTATCCCGCTTACTTTCGTTTAGCAAAGGCGCAGTTCTCATGAAGATTGCCCATATTTTATACGGACGTAACAATGAACAGGAATTTCGTAACTGGTTTTCGCTTGAACGTCGTCTGATCATTTCTGAGATTCTCCCTGTCCCGACTGTCGTTTCAAACGGATAAAGGATCCATTGGTAGTGTTACTTTACAAGCTGACTGGCGGTTATCAGATCCACAGGTAGGGTTACGTGATCACTTCAATGCCTGCCTTGCACAAAGAAGTAAAAAACCACAGTATACTGTTGGAGCCCCTTCGTTGTCTACAGTTCTAACGCATCTTTTATCAAGTAGCGTAATCGTCAAACATTTTGTCATGGGAAACCTTAACACAAGGAAGTTTTGATGCTCTACTGAGCGATGTTTTCAGAGTCACTGGGATAAACAAGCCCTTTTACCGCGCCAAAGTGCATTCGCAAAATAAGCAACATTTTCACTACAACAATTAACGCAAATTGTAAAAAAAATCAACATTTTTAGCGAACAGAAAAATTCGGACCCATACTTTGTATGTCGCATCAAAGGACTCTGCGGGATTTTCAGGCCACACAGAGAGGCGTGAACCGAAAACGTGACGGCACTCAAATGGAGGTAATCGAACCACACAGGGCGATGGTAGTGCAGACCCTTGGTGAGGGAGAGATTCAGGGTGAGATGGCGGGCGCTGAGCATCTTGTACGCCGCACACACCTCGTCCCCGCCAGGTTTCAGTAGGTCACTGCTGCCAATATGCCACAGTTCAAGAACCAGCTGCATCTTGAGGACCCTAAAAGCAAGTTGATATAAGAAAGTTTTCATGATCATCCAAAAATAGACTCCATACGCTGAATCAACCGAAAGAGCACTCAGCTTCAACGGTACGGTTACTTTGTACTCGAATACGTCGGACATCGACACAGTCTCGTCTCGGTAAAGTACTTCGAACGTCTTGCCCACCGCTCTGCCGTTGACGACCGACGCGGGGAACAAAGCCGGAACTGAAGACTCGGGTCATTAAAAAATAGTATATAACGCTACAGTATATCCTCGAGAAATTATTTTTTTTATCTCGAAGAATGTATTTAGGTTATTTAAATGAAGCGGGAGTAGAGAAGGATACGTATCAAAAATGTCTCAAGAAAGAGCCATGCATGGGCAAGTAGGGCTATGGATATACCTAGCCGCCCTTCCTTCAATACGAGTAT